TCCTCGTCGGTTAGAACTTGTCTTTTTCTCTACCGAAGTAGGCTACTGGTAGATATATCTGGCCAAATTATATGGAGCATCTTGTGTGAGTAGCTGTTTATAACAGTAATTTTGTAGTGGCTCCTCGAGTTTCAGCTCTATATAATAAAACAATTTTGAAGTTCGTATTCAAAATTCCAATGTAAATCCTGAACGAAAGTTTTTTTGAGTGTCGGATATTCACCAGCTTTAGGGACTCTGTTCTCTCTTCGTCGAACGCCCCTTAGAATCTTCGTCATATTTCCCCAGTTTGTCAGTGATGCTGTCCAAGTTTGTATAGGCTCTCAGCTATCACAGATTTTCTTTATCTAGCACAATTTAGTCATTGCTCACTGTGCTGTATTACAGGATATTGCACTTTTCCCCAAGAATTTTGAATCATACTATTGTATTTTATGTCATACAGAATAAAATATCATACGGGAAAACAAAACAAATACTACACTGAGTAATTATCACATTGAAATAAAATGGAAGTAATATTAAGTAAAAATCATAGTGAGCAAATTAATCTAATTTCGAATTTTCTTCCCGTCATATCAGATTCAATGGAGCTGGTCTGTTTGAGAGTTATTCAAAGTGCTCTGCTAACCTGTTTCATCGTTCTTGAATATCAATGATTGGCTTGCATTGTTTATCCTTGACTAGTTATTCTGGTTTACTATATTTCCCTACCAGTTTCTTTATTATATCATATGGTCGTCTACCGTTTTCTTAACTTGCAGCTTTTTCCACTATGATTGCTATGTCTTCCACGTATTTCTGCTTGTCAGCTCTAGTGTTCCTACTCATTTTATTGTTTGCTTCTATACATTCAGCTTGTACCTTGACTTTTTTTGTTTTTGTTCGGCTATTGTTTGTTGCTGTCTGCTTGTTTTTCTTTTCTTTAGTCTTGGGTATCGCTTTAGCAGAGACCCACTCTTTATGCTGTTGATTCTTACTGCTCAGAACCTACTGACACGTTGAAGTCAGTGCTTCTTTAGTCCCTTTCCAGTTACTCTCCATAGAAGTCTCCTCACCACAGACTAGATCTTGTAAGGTTTGGAATTCGCCAACATGAGATGTTCTGATTTTGTTGAGTTTGTAAGTACTTCGAAGAAAGGGTGTACTAAACCTTTTTAATGTTGACTCTTCAGTTGTCCAGTGCTACTTTAGCTTCACTTTCATCTTGTTCACAATTAGGTGGTGGTCTGAAGCAATGTCATTCCCCCTATTTGTTTTCATGTCTTCCACTGTCCTGAATTTTTCGACGATGCGAATATAATTGACTGAGGTTCTCTGTTTCGTGGTCCGGTGATACCCAATTAGGTTTCTGAATGCGTTTGTGGGGAGGGGATATTCTACTGCCTATAACCATTTTGTTGAAAGCACATAAATTTGCAAATCTTTCGCTATTTACATTCCTTCATCTTATTCCATGTCCCGTGATATCCTTATATCATGTGTTTTTCATTTTGACTTTTATAATCGAAGTATACCAATCCAGTCATATCAATAATCAGGAATAATGGGGTCCGAAATTATATTTAGAAGGTCATTAATACATTGAGGAACGTTTGATCTTTTCTTGCTGGCAGTTGCAAAGGATGGGTAGCACGGTGTTCCCACTCGTGATCTGATGCGGACGCGGGCAGTGCTCCAGGGGTATCGCGACACTTTTTTGCTCTACTTCTTCATTTCTGCTTTGTGCACAGCCAAAATTTGAAATTTATTATAATTAAATTTGAAAAATCATTTTCCATCTTCATGATTAAGTGAAAAGGGGTTTTTTCATTTTGCGTTACATGGTATCGCAAAGTCCTTGAAAATTCATTAATCAGGTGCTGCTATAATAGTTTTTTCATATTTGCATCGCAGACTGGCGATTATTTTTACTTAACTATACAAATAGAGCAGAGAAATCGTTTATTTTTATATGAAATGATATTATCTAAGCATATATTGTCATAAAAATTGTATTGTCGTCAAGGCTACCAAAACTGCGCTACAACTAACGATACCATGATAACATTTATCGTTTTTCCCTTCTGTATTACAATTTTGGCTGATTTTCACTGTTTTGTTCAACTTTTATGGCAGACATAGGCTAATAGTGAAAACATTAGCTGTTCTTAGTGTTGTCAATATTATGTATATGCTGTAGATGGTTATAACACATACCAATATGTTAATATCACCTTCTACAGTTAGATATATAAGCTACCAAATCATTATATTGCAGGAAATAAATCATAATCATGCGAGAGAGGTACAATTATGTGGAGATTTTACCAGAGAGTAAGCTAAGATTGGGTATCAAGATATCTTGATCTCAGGTGACCAGATTGTGTGAGATCGTATGTAATGATCTTCGAAAATCACCGAAGGCCTGGCTAGCTTATATGCTGATGCCGTAAATGACAATTAATTATACCTTGCGTGAGACTAAAATAAAAAAGGCACCAATAATTGCAGATTATACAAGACGATTCAAAGTAACTTCACATAGCAGTCTTTATATATATATATAAAGCAAATAAGCGTGATGTACCAAATGCACTCTCGATTTGTAACTGAATACCGGTTTCTCTTTTTATATTGGTTTTGGGTAAACATTTATATTGTAATAGTTATTTCCTGTCTATCTTATTTCCAGCTGGCTTCGCAAGTGTTCACCGACCTAATTGGAACAATTCCTAAGCACTGGAAGTTATTCATTAATGGATCATTTTCGTTGGATTTCAACTTTAATAAACGTTCTCATTTATAACACATCAGTGTTTTAATTACGGCAATGCTTACCTATCGTGACAAGTCAAAATTCGACCTAGTAGTATAGTAAATCATGTTCAAAGTTGCAGTGTTTGGTAAACAGTGCGTATAACTAATCGCGTGTGCGCTAAACTGGTAATTATTACACAAGAACGCGAAACAACATCCCTTTTTCACAGCGACATAAGACTTCACAGTACACTCTCCCTACCGTAACGCTATAAGAATGAGTTAATACCCATATAAATAAATTTATGTAAAACTAAAAAGATTACAATATTAGAACTTCTTGTCATCAAGAAGCATAGCTATGGTCAGTGTTAACAATGGATTCTGACGATGTAGCTTCACCATTAGCACCGATTGAACTCATCACTTGTGCGCATATGTCTTCAGATGCTTCGAAGCATGAACGGATGAGTTTACTTGCCAAGGGTTCACTAAGAGCATGGATTGAGTGGTAGTTGTTAGTGAACTTCTCTAGCAGATCATCAATCCCGGTAGAGATTGACATGTTGTCCAGCGCACGAAGAACCAAGTCCATTATATATTTCCTTGTCCACCGGCTGCTATGTCGAAATAAGTCTACAATGCTTATAGAGACAAAGGAACACACACTTACCTCCAATTATTAGATCTTTAGAATGTGCATACAGAATATGACCACAGGGCAGCATGTAGTCATTGAAACGCTCACAAGCACATCGTGCACGTGAAGTACCAACAACATACATCATACCCTTGTCGTAGCACCGGATGTGTTCCCCTGCTATACATTCGTGTCTCATTGACCTAACACGTTTATAATTTACAGCTACAATTTTAGCTGCAAAAGATGTGAACTCATTTCAAAGAGTTCGAAATGACATAGGAACCTGGAACTAATGAAACATTTAACTATATTTCTTACCTCAACAATTGGAAAACGTTGAAGATTCTTCACAGCGTCATATGGACGCAAACGTAGGTCAGTATCTGTTTTGCTCTAAATTTTCCAGAGCGTCAATAGCAGAGAATCACCTCTTCTAAGACATTCTTTTAGATGTTTATGAGCACTTTCAACACGGTTGTTCGTGTGGTTACCCAGGCTTAATACATGTCGCCGGTAACTACGGGCCCACATTGACTTCTGGGCAATCCAGTAATCTTTGATGTAATCATACGCCCGTGGGAAATGGATCCTCAGATGTTTGTACTTTTGAGTAAAATTAATATAATGCGTTACGAAAAACGAAGCTCGTGTATCAGACCGTCTAGTCTTTACAAGGTGTTCCAAGCATTTGCGTACATCAGGATTTCGAAACTACAGAAAATAATTTGAACAGCTAACACTTACCTTCCTGAAAAATGCTCTTAAGACATGGAATGAACAAAGTACTATATCGGCATGACTGTGCGTAGACTGCACTGCTGAAATTTCGGTTGCTGCCGAATCCATAACAAAAGTGTGTGTATCATAAGTACAGCACATTATATCTTTTGAAGCATTCCAATAGTTTTACGACATCTCGTCGTTCTTGCTTGCAAAGAGCATACATAACAGTGTGCCATTGCCCAAGACTATCAGTCACCACTAGCTGGAACAGTGGAAAACTGTAAGATAAATAAATTGCGATTCGTTACTTACCCAACTTTGTTGGTCTGATAAGTCGAGTCGATACATATTACGTCTGGGAACGCGTGGTAAACAGCAACTTGCTCCCTGCGACTGAAGCGAATCATAGATATGTTCCCATGTTCACTTAGTACTTTAACTTCAGTGTTTGCTTGAACACGTTGTAAAATGTTATTGATATTTTTAATGTCTAAGCTCAATTAATTACAATGTGATTTCAACAACCTGGGTACCACTGTAAACGCATTTTAGATTTGGGTCATCATTGTTCTTTTTACATACTGACATAACGTACCTAGTATAAGTATACTACAAAAATAATCATTAACCACAGAAGTCATATTACCTTATGTACTTCTTTCAAACAGGTCTCAAAATTGTCCCAACTTGTAAATCTCCGAGATAACATAATATCATTGAAGATTCTTCCTATATCATGCATCATCACGATGACATCATCTTCGTTACATGAAGGATGAACGTTATCAGACATGGTGTGGCTGAACTCAATTCAAATCTAAAAATGTCTTGATTTGACCGCCTCTGAAAAACTTCACGAGTTGTCGATGTGACGCACCAATCATCTTGAGACAGTTTGACCTTCAAGTGCTCGCAACCCCCATCAGTGGACGATACCTCTGAAGTGTTGCCATTTTGAACTTGTTGTGATTATCCTTGCTTTTGTGTAATTGTTGCATCAAAAGCATTCTTGGTCTATATTAAAGTACTTTAGTTAAAGTTTTAAATCTTGCTAAGGTTTGTCTTGTGGTACCCTTTTACTCGTTGACTGACACTAGTGGTCATACTGTGATCATGATCACAGTAAAACACGATATGCATATCGTGTTTTACACCTTAATCTGACTAAAATGGTTGGTAGTACTCACAAATGTGGACAACCACACTGTTTGTCCCCTGTGGAGGAAGGAATACAGTGTGATGAATGCAAAAGGTGGTTCCACAAGATGTGCACCCGTTTAAGTCCCACTGCATACAAAAGATGTTCGAAGCCTAACTCACATTGGCTTTGCATGTTTTGCTGTGCAAATAAGACATTACTAATACAGGAGGCTATGAGCCTTTTGGCTTTGTCCTGCAAGAAAAATGATAGCGCATGTGCTGATAACACGAGCACTGACAGTGACGAATGTGTCAGTGTAGTACCTGCTGTTGCGAGATGCCTAAAACAACCGACTTTGATTGACGTAAAAGTGAAATCTCCTTTAACATTAACGAGGGAAGAAGCACTACCTGGAACTGACATCGGTAACCGTGCACCTTTAGTTGAAACTAAAAATCTGAATAAGACCGTCACTTTTACAAATAGTCCCGGTGTCCTGAGGAATGATAAGTGGACTACAGTACGGAAAAAAACGAAGCGAAAAGAAAAAAAGCTGTGGGTAGTGCGCAGGTGGTTAGCAAGTCATTGGTGGACTCCCATTGCGTGTCACAAAACGCACTACCAAAATCCGATAGTAAGAGGGAAACCCACCCAGGCGTGACTGAAAAGAAGAATCTAATATCATCGAATAATATTGTAAGCAAATTGCTGGAGTCAACCACCCTGATCCCAAAATTAGACACGCGCATAATTAAGAGAAGCTGTGAGAATATATTCGTAGTATCTTACTAGAAATCTCTAAAGGAGTTCAGGTCAAAAAGCTGGTTAGAACAGGAAAGAGGACCGAGGACAATGCTGAATCTCGACCATGCAGACTCCTTAAGGTAATCCTAGGATCAGAAAAGCAACGGGATCTCCTGTTAAGTAATGCTCGTTGTCACGACAATTCCGATATCCGAGTTAGACCTGATATGTCTCTCGAAGATAGGATAAAAAGAAAGAAAGCACTAGCTGAACTACAAATCGTCAACAAAATGGTGAGGAAATTCTCCGGTTAGTGGGTTTACGGATAGTCAGGTCTTGGAAGCGAATGCTACCAAGGCCTGTGTGGATAGGTGGTTCTACCTAGGAGTTTTATATGCCAACGCTCGTAGCCTAAGAAATAAGTTCTATGAACTAGAAGCATTAGTGGACAGATTAAGGTCACTCATTGTAGCAGTGACAGAAACTTGGTTAGTCCATGACTTAGACATTACTCCAGAATTATCCGGATACCATTACCTAAGGAGGCCCCCAAGTGCCCTGGTACGGCCGACGGTGGGGAGAGTCCGCTCACCCTCTCGAAATGCTCTCACATGGCCACGCGTATATAGCCTCTGACAGGGAAGTCCTACTCACTGCATTCTCGTGGCGGAGGTGTTGTTTACTAAATTGAGGGGACGAGAAGCGAATGTCCGGCACTTTAACCGGATCCCAAACCAATGGTGCACATGGGCCCCATTATCCTAGGGGACAAATGGCGTATGAACCAATTGTTGGTCACCGGCTACCATGGGACTACATCTCCTTACGATACTACTCTGCCTTGTGGGTCATACGTTCAGGTCGAAGGCTCCGGTTGTTGCCCCCTGAGTAAACCACCTGCTTCGGTTTGGGCACCCAGGCAGTATCACAGCCCTCACATAATTTATGTGGGGCATATGTATTTGGTGCCTCCTTGTACCAATACCTATGTGTTAAAATAAATAAAACCTAAGGAGTGATAGACATAGATGTAGAAAAGGAGGTGGCGTCCTGTCATATATAGCCAATAATATAAATATCCGCACATTCATTTTTGGAGCGCTAATACTAGATGCCTGGTAATAGGAGACTTTAATGCACCTGACATTAGTTGGACTGAGATGACCACTGAAGGATCTATATACTCCTTTGATAGTAGGTTCCTGATAACAACGGAGCATGCATTAGTGCACCATGTATCCAAACCTACATGTTTTGGTGCTAACCAAGGTTCTCTGTTGGACTTGGTAATCACTCATGATACTGAAGATATTGTTGACCTAAATGTTCTCCCACCGTTAGTGAACAATGATCACGCTGTTTTGTCATTCTCGTTTAGAACTAGGGACATGTTATACGATGAGGTCACACCCCGCCCAAATATATGGAAAGCTAACATATCAGCCATTCAGGAATGCTCTGCTAAGACAGATTGGTTTCTAGATACTAGCTTATCAGTTGAAGAAGCGTGGTCTGTATTTAAAGGTAAGTTTAGTTTAGTTACGTCCTCGTTCATACCATACCTGGTACCGCGAAGACCGAATAATAGTCCACCATGGATAACTAAACCAGTTAAGAGGCTTCTTAGAAGAAGGAAGAAGCACTGGAATATGTTCATCTCCACTGGCTTAGAACAATATCGATCCAGTTATTGTAAGACTAGGAATGCCTGTAAAGCTTTAATAAGTAAGACTAGACGATCATATGAAAAACAATTGCTTAGGAATTCTAGATATAGTCCGAAACGGTTATTCTCGTATATAGAAAGGCGAACTCAGAGAAGTGATGGAATTCCATCACTTTCGATACAAGAAAATTCGTTAATCTTGGCAGAAAATGATACCGGAAAAGCTAAAGCTTTATCGGAATATTTCAGTAAAGTGTTTTCCATCACTAATGAGGAATGACTATCGATTCATTATGATCGTGACGGCTCACTGACGGATCCTGTGGTCATTGAGAAAGATACTGTTTTAAGGCTACTTCAGCATCTCAAACCTGATAGGTCCAGTGGTCCTGATAATATTCATCCTAGGATTATGAAAGCCATATCAAATGTAATTGCTGAATCATTAGCGATACTGTTTGATATGTTTCTGAAGCAGTCCAGACTGCCCAGAGACTGGAAAGACGCTATAATAAGTCCGGTGTATAAGGCTGGGAGTAGGGATTTAGTAACCATAGACCCGTTAGCTTAACTAGTGCGGTTGTAAAACTGATGGAAAATATCATTCGGTTGTCTGTTATAAACTATGTTGAAGGGCATAATCTTTTCTCCAGGGAACGACATGATTTTCGGAGAGGCCTATCGTGCTTGACAAATCTTCTCATTGCAAGAGAAGATTGGGCTGGTGCAAAAGATCGGAATATTCCTGTAGATGTGATCTTCATAGATCTAAGTAAAGCTTTCGATAAGGTCCCTCATTCTGGTCTTAAATTCGAACTGGAACGCTTCGGAATCCATTATACAGTCGTAGATTGGATAAGTAACTTTCTCCATGACAGGAGACAAAGGGTAAGGGTTAATGGGGCTCTTTCCTCGTGGGTACCTGTAAAAAGTGGAGTTCCCCAAGGTACAGTCCTCGGTCCTCTTCTCTTTTTACTTTATGTAAATGAATTACCAACTGTAGCAAAATCATCCGTTCTACTCTTCGCTGATGACATAAAAATTTGGAGACCCATACACAGTATGTTGGACAGGATAGTATTACAGGATGATCTTATCTCATTGGTGGCATGGTTGGACAGGTGGTCAGTAAAAGTAAATCCTAATAAGAGTGTAGTGATGCAATTAAATAATAATGATTTATTTATTTATTTTAACACATAGATATCGGTACAAGAAGGCACCAAATACATATGCGCCACACATATCTCATTTGATATGTGTGAGGGCTGTGATACTGCCCGGGTGCCCAAACCGAAGCAGGTGGTTTTCTTAGGGGGCCACACTCCGAGCCTTTGACCTGAAGATCTGATCCACAAGGCAGTGGAGCATCGTGAGGAGATGCAGTCCCATGGTAGCCGGTGACCAACGATTGGTTCATACGCCATTTGTTCCCGCAGGATACTGGAGCCCATGTGCACCATTGAATTGGGATCCGGTTAAGGCGCCGGAAATTCGCTTTTCGTCCTCTCATTTTCGTAAGCAACACCTCCGCCACGAGAATGCAGTGAGTAGGACTTCCCTGGCAGGGGCTGTATACGCGTGGCCATATGAGAGCATTTCGAGAGGGGGAGCGGACTCCCCCCACTCTCGGCCATACCAGGGCATTTGGGGGCAAATAATAATGATGAATCGTATCACTATACAATATGTGGATTCGTACTACCCAAAGTAAGAAACTATAGACTTGGGAGTCATATTAAGTAGTGATTTCAAAACCACCAGTTATTGTAAGGCTGCTGCTGCGAAAGACTATAGGGTATTATGGTATATTTGTAGGTCTTTCCAGTATTTAGATGATGAAATGTTTGGATTACTATGCCCGATTTATGTGCGACCACATTTAGAATATGGGATTCAAGCAGCGAGTCCTTGTTTCAAGTTTGAAGCAGATATGCTAGAGCGAGTCTAACGACGAGGTACTAAGATGGTACAAGGTCTCTCTGGACTATCTTATGAAGACAGATTGAGACACCTCAACTTATTTCCGTTATCTTACCGTCGAATACGGGGTGATCTAATATTATTTATTATTTATTTATTTGAACACAAATATTGGTACAAAAGGTCACCAAATATATATGCGCCACACAAAACAATGATAATTTGAAGAGAAGGAGAATATATATATATATATATATATAAAGTAATGAAAGTGGGGAATTATAAAAAAAAAGAGGGAGAGAACAATGATGGGAAAAACGGAAAGGTACAATCAGAAGAAATATTTCAGTTAAGTAAGATACAACCACTTTTTATGAAGAAAGTAAAAGATGATTACAGCAGGATCGCCACTGGCTTCTATTCTGAGCCATATCTGATAAAATCCCTAGCCACTGCGTTACACCGTCTCTCAGACCCCAGCCAGGGAGTCGTGAAGGATCAACAGAAGGCAGCCCTTTGCAGCTTTCTTTCATACCACGACACCATGTCATACACTGACCAACTCTCCGCTTTTTCCAACCAGTCTCAGAGTAGGCAAATAATGCACGACGTGGAATTCTCTGGGACGACATTCGTAGAACATGTCCAAGTCACCGAAGTCGATGTTTCAAGATGGTGACACCAATTTCAGTGTCGTCTCTGTGACCGAACACACGATGCTGGACCTCTGCATTACTAACATGGTGTTGCCACTGGATGCTAGCAATCCTTCGGAGACAAAGATGATCGAACACAGAGAGTCGTCTAACATCCTCAACTCGGAGAGGCCAGGTTTCACAATCATAGAGCAAAACTGCTCTCACCGTCGCGTTGTAGATCCGACCTTTTACAGCCAGACTAACATCACGAAAGCACCAAAGGTGGCCCAGATTGGCATAAGCCGCTCTGGCTTTCACTATACGTACATTGATCTCATCACTCACGCCACCACCAGCACTTATGCAGCTACATAGATACACGAACTTCTCGACCACTTCTATCTGCTCACCGTCCAGAGTGAGTACAGGATTAGAATCCTGCCAGTCTTGTAGGAGTACTTTGCACTTCGAAGGTGCGAAGCACATACCATACCTACGAACATTGATTGCCAACTGATTAAGTGCGGATTGCATAGCTTGGGCATTCTCGCACAGTAAGACAATATCATCCGCATACTCAAGGTCGAGAAGTCTTTCTCCAGGCAACAGATCAACACCACCATTACTTACATCCGTCAGAGCTGTTTCCAGAATGTCATCGATGGCAAAGTTGAAGAGGAATGGTGAGATTGGGCAACCCTGCCTAACTCCACTGCTTGAATGGAATAGTGGAGAAAGGTGGTTCTATGCCCTCACTCTGCCTGAGGTGTTTGTGTATAGGGCTTTTAGGATGTTAATAAACTTCTCAGACACACCCTTCTTCAATAGACAATCCCAGAGAACAGTTCTGTCCAACGAATCGAAGGCAGCCCTTATGTCAAGAAACACTACGATTGTTGGCCTTTGATAAGTATGGCGGTGTTCTAACATTTGGCGGAGGGCGAAGATATGATCAATACATCCTCGACCGGGACGAAACCCAGCCTGCTCCTCGCGAGTCAATCCTTCTCGGGTTTTGAACAACCTACAAAGTATGACGGAAGCCAATAGCTTGGACGCAATCGGAAGTAGACTTATCCCCCGATAGTTGTTACAGGAACAACGTGAACCCTTTTTAAAGATAGGGACAACTATCGACTCATTCCATGACGTTGGTACACACTCTAGTTCCCAGACCTTTGTAAACAACTTCGTCAGTCCCTTAGTCAGAAAGTCACCACCATCTTTAAAAAGAGCCGGAGGTAAGTCGTCTGGGCCCGGTGATTTGTAACGTTTCAAGAGTTGGAGTTCCTTGCGGACTTCTGCCTCATTTGGTGGATCAATCGTCACCGGCCATGGAGGGCAGGACAGTCTGACCGATGTTGCCGGAGCAGCAGGCCAGTTGAACTGCCCTTCAAAGAATTCTGCCCATCGTCCAAGACGTCGATGGATGTTAGTGATTGGCGTTCCGTCATCCTCGCAGATTGTTTCGCTCACACCAGACTTCTTGCTGTCAGTGGCTCGGATGAGTTGGAAGAGCTTCCGGTAATTACCAGATGCAGCTGCTGTTTCCAGCTCATTAGCACGCTCCGACCACCAGGCTTCTCGGTCCTTACGCAAGCTTTGCCCGAATTCATTACGTAACATCCTTCGTCTGTGGTCAAACTCACGGTCACCCTGAGTAGACCGACGGGCTTCAATGAGTTGTAAGGAACCAGAAGAAGCCCAGTGCTTGTAAGCGGGATGTTTCGCGAACCCACAACAGACTTGACCCGCCATTTTCATGGCGTCATGCAATTGCAACCAATGCTCATCTATACTTTTCGGTGGAATGGTAGCTAGCCTAGAAGCTAGCTCGGTTCGGTACTTACTAGCAACAGAAGTTGCAGCCAGCTTGCTAACATCAATCCTTTGGTGGCGGTCACTTCGTTGTCCACTGAAAAGTAAGGTAAGATTGGCGCAGACCAGAGCATAATCAGATTCCAGATAGGTACTCCAAAAGGAGCGGCGGTCTTGTACACAACCGCGCCAGCGGTAGCTGATCGCGATGTGATCAATCTGAGTCCAGGCTTGAGATGCAGAAGGAGGACGCCAGTTGGCACATCGGCGATGACTGTGCCGAAAGTTAGTGCTAGCCAGAAACAGGTTGTGGTCTGTGCATAGTTGCAGTAGACGTTCCCCGTTATCTGTACTGCGACCAACAAGTCCCCATCGGCCACCTAAACGACTCTCTTCTGTGCCTAGACGCCCGACCTGAGCATTCAAGTCTCCGACTAGTACTACAATATCTGTCGAGCGCACTTTCTGGAGAACAGTTAACTGGTGGTAGAACTCATCCTTGATTGCATCCGGGCTGCAATCTGTCGGGGCATAGGCGGAGATGACGAAAAGACATCGTTTCTCACGCCGATTTCTTCTTACTTTGATGGAACTTTCTAATCTAACAGCACATAACCGACTGTTAATGGGGATCCAGTCGACTAGTGCTGCCTCAGCTCTAGCGCTTAGTGCGACACCAACGCCAGCAAGACCAGACGAAGATGCCACAGGGTCCCCGGATAAACGCACATAAAACAAGCTTTTTGAAGCGTCAGATGGAGAGCGAACTTGTAGTACTTCACCAGAGTCTTGAATACGGGTCTCGGATAGACAACACACATCAATATTAAGACTTTCCAAAGACATAGCCAGCCCTATCTGTTGTCCGACCTGCATAAACGTGCAAACGTTGAAGGCAGCCAGTTTGAATGGTGCACGTGGTTTCAGAAAAACTGCATCAGTACTCATATTCGGTGGTAACATACAATTTTCAACCAGGCAGTGACTCGAGAGCGTTTAGATAAAGCTGAATTTTCACCATAGGCGAGCTGCTGTCTGAGTCGAAACGGATACAAAAAGTAGAAATAGGAGATAGTGAATAAATGACGTAGTAAATAATAATAATAATAATAGTACGAGTCATTTCAATGTTAATCAGAGAGAAGGGGATATTTTCCATAAGCAAATAGTTCATGATTTTAGTGCGTGGGCTGAGATACTGCCCGGGTGCCCAAACCGAAGCAGGTGGTTTTCTTAGGGGGCCACACCACGAGCCTTTGACCCAAAGGTCTAGTCCACAAGGCAGTGGAGCATCGTGAGGAGATGCAGTCCCATGGTAGCCGGTGACCAACGATTGGCTCATACGCCATTTGTTCCCGCAGGATACTGGAGCCCATGTGCACCATTGAATTGGGATCCGGTTAAGGCGCCGGAAATTCGCTTTTCGTCCTCTCATTTTCGTAAGCAACACCTCCGCCACGAGAAGGCAGTGAGTAGGACTTCCCTGGCAGGGGTTGTATACGCGTGGCCGTGTGAGAGTATTTCGAGAGGGAGGGCGAACCCTCCCCACTCTCGGCCATACCAGGGCATTTGGGAGAGATCTAATATTGGCTTATCGTATACTGAACGATGACCTTGGTATTAACATGTCCTATCTTTTACTCCCGTCTAGGACTGATCGTTTGAGAGGACACTCGAAAAATGTCCAAAACCGAAATCAAATCGTTTACGTCTGGAGTTTCGTTTCTCGCATCGAGTAGTGAATTATTGGAATTCTCTACCGGAACATGTAATATCAGCACCTGTTGATATATTCAAAACGAGATTGAATCTCCACAGTAATACAAACTTCAAGGATTAATACATGTCGATAGACCTATTCTTATTACTGAAGGCTGGTGATATCGGCGTATATTTAGGCGAAAAGTAGACAATTCAGCAATATTTGAAACCAACACAAAGAGGAAAATCCGCATTATTTCCCCCGGACATGCGAAAAAGCAGACATTTTAGCGCGTTTCCCCTTTATTTTTCAACGCGTTTTCCCTTTTGTTCGTCTTTATTTACCCCTTATTGGTATATCGGGATGTTTTATTGGTAATTAGAGAACCACAATTTTTAAACTCGTTCCACAATCACATCAAGAACAGTATGCAAGTGCTTTTAACCCAGCTCTTAATATTTGCAACATGTCCGTCATGGTAATCCGAATTTTGGAGAAGACCTATGGGCCACTACCCTACTAGTTGGTTAGTCTATTAGTATAGTGTTATTTTACTCCTAATTTTTAGATACGGATTGATATTCTACTCCATTGTAGAATACGATTAAGTGACGGGATTATCTCGCCGTTCATAAACAAGACCTTGTGAGAAACTATAGAAGTCCTATAGGACACCTTCATGTCTTCAGTAATAAAGATAGGAGGTCAATCGGCTTATATTAATCCTTGCAATCTTTAGTACTGTGGAGACCCAGTACCGCATGGAATGTATTGACAAAAGGTACTGATGTTACGCGTTCCAGTAATATACTGCTCAGTGCAAGAAACGGAACTCTAGACGTAAGCAGTTTGGTCTCGGTTTTCGAACCTTCTCAGATTATCGGTCGTAGATTGAAGTAAAAGATAAGGCGTCAATACCAAAATCATTGTTCAGTAAGCCAGTATTAGATCACCTCGTAATCTGCGGTAAGATAATGGAAATAGGTTGAGGCGTCTCCGTCTGTTTTCATAATATAGGCCAGAGAGGCTTTTTACTACTTGTTCTGTTTACCATTGAACTCGTCATTAGCATATTCATCTCATACTTCGAATAAGGACTCTGCTTGGATCCTATATTTCAAATGCGGGCTCACAAGATCCGGGTATAATACCCTAAACGTTTCTCCATCCAAGAAATGAAAGGAATTATTAGTAGCTCATAAGACCCTGAAGTCTGGCAGCAGCAACAGCTTTGTAGTTACTTGGTTTCCAGATCTTTATGTCATCTGCAGAGCAGAACAGACAAGTTTGCTACAGCTGGTAAATCATTTATATACAGTAAAAAAAGAGTATGGAGGATCTTATCATGAGGAAGTCCACTTTTTAAAGATTCCCACGTTAATAGAGTCTTATTTACCGATGCGTTTCCTTAACACTACATTCGATCTACCTTACAAAAATAAATAAGTCAAGTGATTTCTAGACAATCGATCCTGTGAATATAGGTAGTGTAATCTCGTTAAATAATGTTGTGTCGGTTAGAGTTTCCCTTTTATGTTATTTAATGTAGTATGTTTTGGGGAAAAATAAGTGGACTAGACTATAAGTGATAACTAAGAGACGGTGAGTCTAGATGGTTTCGAGGTAGTACGGAGATGTAACGAACGGTTGTTAACCTTATGGCAAGCGCGTCAGTGAGTTGCTGATCTATAAGATAGCTTGTTAAAAATAGAGCAATGGCTTAGTGACCAAAGCGTTTGACTTTAAACTCTTAGATCATAGGTTCGACTCCTTCTCCATCTAATTCTGTATGCGCAACCCAGTGGTATCATTAGCTATTGCATAGTAAACGTGGTCCGAAACATGAATCTGTACATTGTTAGATATCGTGGTTACCTACTATGTATTTTAGTCCAATAACTGCTTCCATTTCTAGAAGGGAGAGAACCTAGTGTGATTTATAAAAGCCTCGTGTGGATAGTTAAAATCCGTCAAAAGTCGCTTATTATGTTGGAGCTACCAAGTGAGCAATCATGATATTACTTGTGGAGTCGAGGTTTTAAACTGTTTACGGAAGTGGCTGGGGGAGATTTTGCTTGGAATGCGATGGTAGCTTTTATAAGAGTAAGTTGGAAAAGACCACGAAGCCAAGCTAGTACATAACATCAGCCCAGGAAGCCAATTACCCTTAGTTTTCATGGCAAATATAATCCTGCTCGGTGTCGTAGATGTGAGGTGATATGGCTGAAAGTTGTTTTCAGTGCTGCAAGTGAACTCGTTCTGTATGTTTTCACAATTGTTAAACAGCTTGTTACTACACACTACCAGCTATCTTCACGTTTCTGTTTCCATTTCTTTTTTCCTAATGTTATCATTATTATATTTCAGATTATTATAAATGGCTTCCAAAGATTGTAACGATATATTTGGACGTCGATATCTTACAGATGCTTCTGATGTTTATGAGCGGAATGCTTGGTAAAAATTATGATGAAAAAACCCAACTTCTCTAGGGATGACGTTCAGTGGACAGAAGAGCAGGAAAATTTAGCAAGAGAAATGATACTTTTGAATAGTACTGTTAGACTCCCAGATGATTCTCAAGGTTTTTTCAAGCTATTGCTCATTCTTGATGTTTAGAAAGAATTGAGATCCTTGCACATGAATACTGGGACAAGTTTTATTCCCATCATGAAGACAGATTTTTCAAAGACAGAAATTGGTTGGAAAAAGAGTTTTGTGAATTATTTTCTTCAATATGTGAGTTTTGGCCCTCTTTTAATTTTTTTAGCACCTAGTGTGCACATAATGGAGGTCGGTTGTGGTGTGGGAAATACAATATTTCCAATATTACGCGCTGTAAAGTATACGATATTAAAATGTCTATAATCAGTTTAGGAGTCCTGGACTGTTGATATATGCATCAGATTTCTCTGAAAAGGCTCTATCTATACTCAAAGTAAGTTCATCTTTGATGTAACTATTATCATTAAGGAATCCAAAGGATATGATGCTGATCGTTGTATTACTTTCCAGCATGATATAACCAAAACTAATGATGAAATCCCTTGTCCTAAAAATAGTTTGGATTTTCTAGTCTTAGTATTCGTATTATCAGCAATTAATCCTGAATTGTAAATATTTGCCTTAATTTAATCGCAAATAATTTTTAGGTTTCACCGTACACTCAAAAATCTTGTTGCGTATTTAAAACCCGGAGGTGTGTTATTGTTTCGAGATTATGGAAGGTTTGATTTGGCTCAGCTAAGATTTAAAAATGGCCAGTGTTTAAAAGACAATTTCTATATGAGATCAGATGGGACAAGAGTTTACTTTTTCACTCAAGGTTAGTTTGGAAAATCCCAACAGATTATGTTTTTATTTTCATGCAGATGAATTACACAAATTATTTACTGACGTCGGTCTAGAAAAGATTCAGAACAAGGTTGACCGCAGATTAATTGTAAATCGCAAAAAGAAGTTAAAGATGTACAGAATTTGGATTCAATGTAAATATAATAAGATATAATGTATCCATTGTAATATTTTTCTATTTTGTTATTTCATATTTTGGGTGGTAATAGTTCCGATCAAACTCTTGATGTGGTAGGCATTTCGTATATCACTCTGTCTGCATTTTATTCATTCGTTTTAACAATCTAAAACTCGTCCGTCCACTAAATCATAAAGTCTACATCCGGAACAGTGAATACTGGGATTTGATTGTTAGGATTTACAAACTTTGTTCGTTTACCGAATCCTCTACTATAACAATGAAAATAGGGATAAAAGTCGATTTTTAAGATGTACATTACTCTAAATGAGTGCAAGTCATTATTCATTCACATAATGCAATTAAAGAATGGACTTATCAGAATACTTGTAAATTAATTGAAATCTGGGCATTCGCCAAGTGTTAATTCAAAGTCAAATGCCTTTCAGAAAGAATGGATCATGGATGAAAGCCTCACTCCATCCAGTGGTACAGTGTTTCCAACTTATACTACGATAAAGACTGTAGATGTGAAGTTTCTGGCAGTTCGAAATCAATTGTAATGTAAAGTACGAATTCGCCATGCCCAGAAGGAATTCATACTTACCTATTTAAAAGGTACATAGGTTGCTTATGAAATATGTACAATTATTCTCCAGTTTTCCATTTGGATCTACTATGTTCCACATCCTAAGCTGGTTGTAGACTGTCTTCTGTAGCCTCCCTTCTGGCTTTAAGTAATCCGAACTCGTTGTGCTTTTGGCTTCCTTATACTCCTGTCGACTTCATCAACTCTCATGCGACGCTCCACTGCATACTACTTTAAAGCGATTCTGTGGATAGTGTCCATCACAACGCCATAGAAGTCATAATTTATTGAAAATTCTTCAACTTCAAGCTCAAAAACTTCAATTATGTTGTCACAATATTAACCAAGTCTACAAGATATGCACCGTATCATTACGCACAAGCCGTGCAATTAAACAATTACACGAGTCATAGATATCCCCAGTCATCGGATAAACAATTTGGGTGTTCACACTGTTACAGATCGAATGGTGTGATCAACGATCTCATCTTAAACAGGAAAAAGGAGGTGGAATTAAAAAGTTTATCCCATCTCGATAATCAGGCAATAAAAGTGAATTGTCTTGAATTTCTTATCAATTATAAGGTTGCAATTTGTATACGGAACAGAAACATGATCTTCATTAAAGTTGAATAATTCATAAAACAATGCAAAAGAATCACAGTTTTCCCAGTACCATGACAAAACATCACATAACGTTTTGATTGAGAGATCCTATTATGAGAATATTATTATTATTATTATTATTATTATTATTATTATTATTATTAACAATAATAATAATAATTATAATAATAAATAAAAATTTGAACACACAGATATTGGTACAAGGAGGCACCAAATATATATGTGCTACACAAAACAGTGAGAACTTGAACAGAAAAATTACAAAAACAGAGGAGGTAAGGAGCGTTAAATAAAGAATAATAACGAACAGATTAGTGTAAGGTAGTGTAATAATAATAATGGGGGGAACGAAAAGGTACAATCAGAAGAAATATTTCAGTTAAGGAAGAAGCAATCACTTTATATGAAGAAAGTAAAAGATGATTACAGCAGGATCGCCACTGGCTTCTATTCTGAGCCATATCTGATAACGTCCCCAGCCACTGTGTTACACCATCTCTCGGACCCCAGCCAGGGAGTCGTGAAGGATCAACAGAAGGCAGCCCTTTGCAGCTTTCTCTCATACCACGACACCATATCATACACTGACCAACTCTCCGCTTTTTCCAACCAGTCTCAGAGTAGGCAAATAATGCACGACGTGGAATTCTCTGGGACGACATTCGTAGAACATGTCCAAGTCACCGAAGTCGATGTTTCAAGATGGTGACACCGATTGGATTATTGTCTCTGTGCCCGAACACACGGTGCTGAACCTCTGCATTACTGACATGGTGTTGCCACTGGATGCCAGCAATTCTTCGGAGACAACGATGATCGAACACAGAGTCGTCTAACATCCTCAACTCGGAGAGGCCAGGTTTCACAAGCATAGAGCAAAACTTCTCTGACCTTTTACAGTCAGACTAACGTCACGAAGGCGCCGAAGATGGCACAGATTGGCATAAGCCTCTCTGGCTTTCACTATACGTTCATTGATCTCATCACTCACGCTGTAGTGAACAAGAACATCAATGGGGTTAATCGAATGTGTTTAAGCATATAATTCCAGAGCATCTGAATAAAATCTGAGAATCATATATTAAATCGGCAATTTGCAAAATATCAATCTATCATATCAAACTTGACTGTTTCTGATGCTAACATCAATCCATTGTCTAAGGTTTCATTGTTCATGCATTTTCATACTAATCGCGTTTCATTACCGTTCTTTCCTCATCGACCTTCTGCTGGATTACATTCTATGCCTGACCACCGTCATATACTACTTATGTGGATATAAGTAACCCACACCACAACGCCACTACCAGCACTTATGCAGCCACCTAGATACACGAACTTGGCTTGGGTATCATGATATGGTAAGAAAATATCATCCGCATACTCAAGGTCGAGAAGTCTTTCTCCAGGCAACAGATCAACACCACCATTACTTACATCCATCAGAGCTGTTTCCAGAATGTCATCGATGGCAAAGTTGAAGAGGAATGGTGAGATTGGGCAACCCTGCCTAACTCCACTGCTTGAATGGAATAGTGGAGAAAGGTGGTTCTATGCCCTCACTCTGCCTGAGGTGTTTGTGTATAGGGCTTTTAGGATGTTAATAAACTTTTCAGACACACCCTTCTTCAATAGACAATCCCAGAGAACAGTTCTGTCCAACGAATCGAAGGCAGCCCTTATGTCAAGAAACACTACGATTGTTGGCCTTTGATAAGTATGGCGGTGTTCTAACATTTGGCGGAGGGCGAAGATATGATCAATACATCCTCGACCGGGACGAAACCCAGCCTGCTCCTCGCGAGTCAATCCTTCTCGGGTTTTGAACAACCTACAAAGTATGACGGAAGCCAATAGCTTGGACGCAATCGGAAGTAGACTTATCCCCCGATAGTTGTTACAGGAACAACGTGAACCCTTTTTAAAGATAGGGACAACTATCGACTCATTCCATGACGTTGGTACACACTCTAGTTCCCAGACCTTTGTAAACAACTTCGTCAGTCCCTTAGTCAGAAAGTCACCACCATCTTTAAAAAGAGCCGGAGGTAAGTCGTCTGGGCCCGGTGATTTGTAACGTTTCAAGAGTTGGAGTTCCTTGCGGACTTCTGCCTCATTTGGTGGATCAGTACTCGTATTCGGTGGTAGCATGCAATTTTCAACCAGGCAGTGACTCGAGAACGTCTAGATAAAACCGAATTTCTACTATACGCGGGCTGCTGTATAAGTCGAAAAATAAGGATATATAAAGTGGTAGTAAAAGAGAATGAATAAAGGACGTAGTAAATAGTAATAATAATGCTACTACTACTACTAATAATAATGTGAATATGATTGTTAATTGGATCAACAAAAGTATCTTCCACAAATGTCAACGTCTCATCATGTTTGTGTGGGCTGTGATACTGCCTAGGTGCCCAGACCGAAGCAGGTGGTTTTCTTAGGGGGCCACACCCCGAGCCTTTGACCTAAAGGTCTGACCTACAAGGCAGTGGAGCATCATAAGGAAATGCAGTCACATGGTAGCAGGTGACCAACAATTGGTTCACACTCCATTTGTTCCCTTAGGATACTGGAGCCCATTTACACCATTGGTTTGGAATCAGGGTTTTCCAACTCCCCTAGGTAGACCCTCCGTGTCCACCAAACCGGTCAAGGCGGTGGATATTCGCTTTTCGTCCTCTCGATTTCGTAAACAACATTCTTGCCGCGAGAAGGCAATGAACAGGACTTCCCTGGCAGTGGCTGCATACGCGTGAGAGCATTTCGAGAGGGAGAGCTGACTCTCCCCACTCTCGTCCGTAGCAGGGCATTTGGGGGCGAGAATGAATTAAGCTTAACACAGTTTTTAATTCAGTAAAGAGTGGATGACCCACAAAACGAATTTCCCCAGTCCTTTAGATCATCCAATGACGTTTACTTTTTATCAATACTTTGCATATAAACGTGTTTCGAAAAGCTATTTCCTTGGCTAATAGTCATGTTTTTGATATCAGTCCATTTATAGTTTTTTTTAATTTAATTTTCCGTTCTTGTGAGTAGTTATCACTCTGCTACATCGTATCATTACATTGTATCTACTGCTCTGTATTTTATTCACTTAAAAAATTCAAAACCTGCTTCAGTCGGACCAATAGCCTTTATTTAAAAAAAAATTAATACATGTTATCTCAAAGGTTAATGTTTAGTGAAGTCCGTCGAGTGATCCAAATTCCAATCAAATCATGCTATTAGTAATGATACTTTTAGTGTTTTTCAACACCATCTTACTGTGAGACTGAAAAATATTGTAAATACGATTGTGCCACAAACGAGCTAATCTCTTTTGGTATATGCTAAATGCTGTGCTTCGAGAAATGACCCTCCTTGGTAATCCCCTTAACTAACATGGGTATTTGTACAGTGTCATACAGCTTGTTTTTGAAGACGCCTAACTATCTCAGTCAAGTCGGATTAACTATATTTTGATTAAAAACGTACTTCTATGATATTCAATGACATTACAAAAATGTTCAACAACTTTCTGTTATGGTGGGGGTTTCCACTCTGAATGCTTTATGGATACTGGTACTAAGTATTTTGCGTTATTTTTGTTCACTGCACTACGATTGTATTTGTGTTGGGAACTCTACACACTCGAATTGTAGGGCGATGGGTTGTGATTTTCAACAAGAGTGCTCAATGTGTGAACTGAAGATACTTGCTTCAGTTCGAAGATCGAAATGCCATCATTAGACATTACACTTGTAGTTGGTTAAAATCGAGTACATGATTATTAACTTTAGTGGTATATGGGTCGAATTTAATCTTGTAATTGCTTTTTTCTTTCTGTCAGCTCAAGTATCCCAGCCTTGGCCATCACGTGATTCCACATGACTACACATGATTGTATATGAAAACTTCGAAAAAGCCAAAAGATAGGAAGAACAAAATAGTATTCGAGTTATACAAATGAATTGTGTTAGAATCTTCACCCTTCTAGCCATTTAGATATCTGTTCCCTAAAGCCATTAATAATAATAATACTATCATGATTATATTTTTAAATCGATGTTTGATTCTGTCAATCTACGGTTTCAGTTATATCGATTCTTACTGTAACAGTCATCAATCAGATGGATTCTTTTGTTATAAGATAACCGATCTAATAAAGTTGAACAAATTACAGAGACTTTTTCAATCAAGAAGACACAAATAGGTTCAGTTAATGATACTAAGTGAACCTTACCAACTAGGATACAAGAGTTTGATGAATATTTTCCTAATAGATTCAGAGGAGCAGTCTGCTAGAGGCATGATTATAAGAGTTACTCTGATTGTTAATTTTAATTATCACAAAATACAGGTGTTCTGAAATTAAACAAACAAAGTCTTACTTATTGTTTCTTTTGTTAGAAATTCATCTCCCAATTATATTGAGAATGCATGTCATATCATTTGTACCATATTACAGTAGATGGTCAGTACGATATTGCTTACTTCTTTTGGAAATTTGTTTCTTTTTCTGTGAATCTTCAAAAAATCCATTTAAATCGAAGTAATTCGTTTAACATTTATACGTTTGCTTACTATTTTGTATATGTACATTATCCACAGAGTGGGACGCTCAATTTTTAGTTAATTACGACTAAATTATAAGCTTTTAAATAGACTGACAACTTTTTTACTCAATGCATTTTGTTGTAAATACTGAAATTATTTGATTCAAGATGTAAATAAGTGAATTAAAGTTTGAACGAAGTATGAAGTTTACTAAGCCCTGTGTCATAGCACTAATAAACTTGAGTTAGTAAGATACATGGCAGTATATTGCCATTTGAATGTGGATGAAAATAAGACTCATCCCAAATGATATAAATAGCTTTCAACATATTAATGGATTCTTCTGTTTGAAAGTCCGGGGATAAAGCCGATTTGGTGGTCACGGAAAGTTCATGTAAGGGAGTTTGAAAACCCCAATTCAAACTAAAGTAGCTGATGAAACAAATAGCATACAAAGCTGTTTCGACTAACGACTACCATGTGAATGACGTTTCTTCACTGCCTTTTTTAATAGACCTGTGTGCCAAAGGTTCCAGAAGTGTTCGTATAAGAAAACTATCTGCCCTAGTTTGAGCACCCAAGAAGTATCCAGATCTATACACAAATATGATGGCGATTATTGATGAAGAATGCCCTGTTTAATTTGCAAAATACGAGATTTATAGTTTGAAAGTTAGTTCAGTGTATTCGAATATAGAAGATCAAAATGAAATTTTTGGACAAATTTTTACCCAAAAATGTTTACAATCAAAAGCTTATTGAAGTCTAACAAACACCATTTTAAATCTTAATAGATGAACCAATGAAAAGGTGGTTATATTGTCAGCTGGTAAGCGAAATGAAGTCCCTTACTGAATGATGTTTAAATTGAATTACTCGATGTATTCAAGTATTGTGTTAGATGAAATTATTTTCATATGATGGAAGATACCAAATTTCAGTACAAGATTGTTTACATACAAATCAGTCAGTATGTTTATTGACAAATGCACAATTGAGTTCATTAGAGTAGTTAAAAATTGCTTGAACTAATTTATACGGTTCATTCGAATGACCGAGTACGATAAAACTTAGTACGAAATTCTATTTTGTTGAATGTGGCTTTGTCCTGTATAGTTTCATTTAATAATGGAATTTCCTGTCAAATACGTCAAATTTTCTCAAGTTGTGAAGCTTAGGTGTAGTTGTTATTGTCTCTCGGATCTCTTTTCGGCATTCGTGATTTAGGTTATATTTACAAGGATGAGATTTATAGATAATCTTGAAATTCCACACAATGATACCTTTAGCCCTCTGGTAAAGATAACAATTCTTGAATGATACCTTGCAGTGCTTTACGTTATTTCAGGGAATGTTCTGGTTAACGTGTAGTGACCTACTTTTGTCAACAGAACGCGATTGGTTCAATGAAAACAATTATTATTATAACCAATTGTACCAGTGACTGTTTTACTGTGCTCGTTTGTTTAACTGTGCTAATAACAGCCATTTTTGGTCTTCCATTGTACTCCATTACTTCTGCGCGGTTTGTGACTACGCACGTACCTTTTCTTGCCGATCGCATTTGTACTCCTTTGGCACGATCTCGGTATTCTTTCGATACCACGAGATTGCCAGCAAATATATTGCAACTACTACTATCATCTGCCTTCTGATTTTTGGCCTACCGGAAACTTATTGGTCTATTGGCACGTAGTCTTGTAGCGGTGTTCATAGTCATGCTCAACTCGACACCACGCTACATTTGGTGAGCCAAATTTTGGAACACGCCTCAACTTCGGTCAAATCTTCTTCAACTGGTGAACCTACATCTACGACAACTTGGCAATCGCAACCAGACCTTCCAAAGAAGTCAATTTTGGTGAGTCTATCGCTTATCTATCCACGTCTGTCATATATTTTCATATTAATTTTAATATATAATATATTTGACATGACGGATAACGATAAGAATAGTATTAACGTAATAGACTCTGACGTACAGGTTATACACTTTCGACCTGTATCTTTTATTCCTCACGATCCCGAAGTTTGGTTTGCTGCTATAGAGTCTCAATTTGAGACCCGTCATATTACAAGCCAACGGCAGAAGTACACTTACGCTCTCGAATGTTTACCGGGAGACCATTTGGTAGCTGTCCGTGAGGTTGTCCTCAATTCCAATGTGCCCAATGTTTACGATCGTCTCAAGGAGGCGATCCTCAGACATTTCCTCCCATCGAGGAAGGAACGATTGAGGACGTTATTAGCACGTCACCCCCTGGGTGATGCTAAACCGAGCCACCACCTCACGCGCCTGCAATCTCTTGCAGGACCCACGGCAGCCGATTCTGGAATCGTTAAAGAACTGTGGCTCGAATCTCTACCAGCATTTATCCAACCTACAGTTACGGCCCTGCTCGAAGATTCACCACTGAAACAGGTGGTTTTCACAGCAGACAAAATTCTAGCTAGGACTGGCAACCGAGACAACTACGTAGTTGACTCAACGTCGCGTCTGAAAGTCGATATCGACGGCAGCCACTCCTCGGCTCAAGGTGACAGGGGAGGGTGTATTCACACACGTCTTAGTTTTCGAGACCACCGTAACGTACCCCAACCCTACGTCCCTCGAGCCCGCTCACGCTCTCGAAAAGCCGTCAACACTCGCCCAACGAGGGCATGTTCCAAGCCACGCCAAAAGGCGGCTTCGGAAGCGATTGAGGGTTGGTGCCGGTTTCATCGATCCTTCGGATCTGGTGCCCGCCGTTGTCGAGCCCCGTGCTCATACAAGGCGGGAAACTCCAAAGCCGGCGAGTAAAAGCGGCCGTACTCGCTGGCCTTGCCCCCCAGGTTGTCCATTTATTTTACGTGCACGATTATCACACAAACGCTGGGTACCTAGTAGATACAGGTGCCCAAGTTTCTGTCGTACCATGAGGTAGCATTAAGTCACAAGCTACAATGCTTCAACTACGCGCTGCAAATGGCTCAGCCATTCCCACCTACGGTACACGACAACTCGCGGTCAACCTGGGCAACCGACGACGGTATCTGTGGACGTTCTTCATTGCTGATGTTCCCACAGCCATACTAGGTATTGATTTCCTACAGCACTATGAATCGCTAGTCGATTCACGTATAGTGCAGCTAATCGATACTTCGTCGAACAGTAAATTCATGAGCTTTGAAGCTCACACAAACGCGTACCGAATCCTCGGCACTTTTTATTCGCGTGACGGTAAATTCCACGCTTTATTCGAGAAATTCCCCAGAATAACTAAACCACTCGAGGAGATTTCATCGGTGACCAATCGTGTGGTACACCACATAGTCACCCGCGAACCACCAGTCACGGCAAGACCACGCCGACTGGCACCGGACAAATTAGCTTTCGCTAAACGTGAGTTTGGCGATTTACAATCTGCTGGTATTATTCGTCCTTCTCACAGTCCTTGGGCCTCTCCTTTACACATGATGCGCAAAAAGGACGTGGTTAGTTGGAGACCATGCGGCGACTACCGAGCATTGAACGTAGTTACGCGCTTTGATAGTTACCCCATCCCCCACATACACGACATCACGGCATCGCTCAAGGGCACAACTATCTTTTCTAAAATCGATCTGGAACGAGCATATCACCAGATCCCAGTCGCTCTTGAAGACATCGAAAAAACTGCTATCACGACTCCTTTCGGTCTGTTTGAGTTCCTACGAATGCCATTTGGATTACGGAATGCTGCTCAACCTTTCCAAAGGTTTATCGATAGCATAGTACGAGACTTGGATTTTTTTCACGTCTATATTGATGACCTGCTGATCGCATCATCAAACGTAGATGAACACTATCAACACCTTATGCTATTATTCCAACGTCTTTCGGATAATGGAATAGTAGTCAACCCAGAGAAATGTGAATTGGGTAAATCAGAAATAATATTTCTGGGTCACATCATCAGACAAGAGGGTATTCTGCCTTGCGAGGACAAAGTTCGAGCAGTCAAGGAGTACAACGTGCCGTCCTCAATCAAGGAACTGAAGGCTTTTCTCGGTTTGGTTAACTTCTACCGACGTTTCATCCCTCACGCGGCAGAACGGTTACGACCATTAACCGATTTACTACGCGGTAATCCACGCAAATTAGAATTGAACGATACCGCACGTACTGCATTCTCAGAGATCAAAACGGCTCTCGCTCACGTTACACTTCTCGCTCATCCTGACCCATCAGCCACGCTTAGTATAGCGGTTGATGCATCAGATTTTTCTATAGGAGCCGTTATGCAACAGAATATCTCCGGCAGTTGGTAACCGCTTGAATTTTTCTCACGACGCTTTACTCCCACGGAGACGAGATATAGCGCTTGCAGCCTACTGTGCCATCAAACATTTCCGGCACGCAGTAGAAGGACGCCATTTCATCTTATTCACCGACCATAAGCCCTTAACGTATGCCCTGCACACCAAGTCTGACCGCTACTCACCACGAGAGTGCAGACATTTGGACTATATCTCCCCGTTCACGACAGACCTTCGTCACATTAAAGGCGAGTCGAAATATGTTGCCGATGCTCTATCACGTATCCAGACGAATGCAGTTACCTTACCGGTGCTCGATCTTCCTACTATGGCCGCCACACAAGCAAACGATCCTGTCTGTACAGAAGCACCACAATCTTCATCCCTTCAGTGCCAGGAAGTACCCCTAGCTACTAGCTCAGGTACTATCCTATGTGATACTTCTACCGGTCTTCCTCGACCCATCGTACCCTCTGCCTATCGCCGTCTCGTCTTCGATGCCCTTCATGGATTGTCTCATCCAGGTATCGCAGCCACATTACGTCTCATCGCTGCACAATACGTCTGGCCGTCCATGAATAAAGATGTTCGTATGTGGGTAAAGCAATGCTTACAGTGTCAACGATCAAAAGTGCACAGGCACGTAGCTGCCCCCATTGGCACGTTCGCTACGCCTGATGCTCGATTTGATCACGTTCATATAGACGTTGTAGGACCATTGCCACCATCGCATGGGTATGATCACATACTCACGTGCATTGACCGTTTTACAAGATGGCCCTAAGCTATTCCCATCACGTCTATTACGGCGGAGGCAGTTGCTCACCGCTTCGTAGAGCGATGGATAGCATTGCACGGTTGTCCCTCGACTGTCACGACTGACCGAGGACAACAATTCGAGTCCGCATTATT